GTCCAGTGAAGCAGGAAGTCAATGGGCGGGGTAAAAGGGTGGGCCACTGATGCGAATCACGTGACCAGAACTGCCAAAAGTGGTGAACATGCCCAAAAAGGGGGCATGTCTGTCCAAAGAATTGGAAGGCCAGCCTGGCATCAGTGTCCCTATGTATCACAGTGTCAGTGTCCCCATGTCGCCCAGTCCCCAAGTCTCCCAGTGTCTGTGTCCCCATTTCTCCCAGTGTCCCCATGTCACTAGGATACTAAGGGACACTGAGAGACATGGGGACACAGTGAGACATGGGGACACTGAGAGACCCGAGGACACTAAGATACTTGGGGACACTGGGAGACATGGGGGCACTGAGACACTTGGGGACACTGGGAGACATGGGGGCACTTGTGGGACACTGGGAGACATGGGGACACTGAGACATTTGGGGACACTGGGAGACATGGGGCCACAGACACTAGAGACACAGACACTGGGAGACATGGGGACACAGACATTTGGGGAAACTGACACTAGGTACACTAAGAGACATGGGAACACAGACACTGGGAGACTAGGGAACACTGGGAGACATGGGGACACAGACACTTGGGCCACTGGAAGATGGGGGGGGCACTTGTGGACATAGACATGGGGATACTGGGAGACATGGGGACACTGGAAGACATGGAGACACTAGGGAAACAGAGACATGGGGACACAGACATTGGGAGACATGGGGACACTGAGAGACCTGGGGACGCTAAGATACTTAGGGACACTGGGAGACATGGGGGTACTGAGACACTTGGGGACACTGGGAGACATGGGGACACTGGGAGACATGGGACACAGACATTTGGGGACACTGGGAGACATGAGGTCACAGACACTAGGGACACATAGACATGGGGACACAGACACTGGGAGACATGTGGACACAGACATTTGGGAACACTGGGAGACATGGGGACACTGAGACACTAGGGGACACAGACACTAGGGACACTGGTTGGGAGACATGGTGACACTGTGTCCCTAGTGTCTCCGTGTCCCAATGTGTCTCCCTATGTCTCTCAGCATCCCCATGTGTCTCAGTGTCCCCATGTCTCACAGTGTCCCCTTGTTTTCCAGCGTCCCCACGTCTCCCAGTGTTCCCATGTCTCCCTGCTGCCTTTCACCCCCATCCCTCACATACCTGAGCTGTAGTCTGTCTCTGCAGGCTGGGAGCTGCTGTCTGAACTCTCTGTGCTGTGTAGCTGCTCCCCCGCGGATCAGTGAGTAGAGAGAGTCAGGGAGATGCTGTAACTTCCTATCCCTGCCTCTCTCCATACACAGTGACCCCCTACTGGCCAGTGCTGGTATTGCAGAGTAATCTCAGTTTATACTGAGAAAAATATTTGCATTTGTATTGCCGGTATAACTGCAATGCTGTCACGGCCAGGCAGCCTCAAATACTGGCTGTGCCTTAAAATACCAGTCAGGTGGCAAACCTAAGAGTAGTGTGTAAAAAAAATAAATGTTTTTTTTTTTTTTTTTTAAATGGGCCTATTCCATGAGCCTGGGCCTGGGCCTGGGCCTGGAGCTGCAGCTCCATCAGCCCCTATGTTAATCCGGCCCTGGTTACCATAGCTACCATGTTTTCAGGGACCCATATCACATATCCATATTGATGGGCAGCACATGAAAAAGGAGAAGATGTACAAGATTAATTAGGCAATTAAGAATCTTGCAGATTATACAGTATACATACTGCAGGGCAACCCTTTTCATGCGCTTACATAAATATGACAAAATGATATGTGCCTGAAAACATGGTGGATATGGTATTCCTATGTATAGATCCTGTCCCGTTTGTGTGGAAATGTAAAGTGCTGCTGTTTCAGAGAAACTGCAATGTTTGCATTTTGCCATAAACTCGCCTCTGGTGGCTGTCAGAGTGACAAACACTAGAGGCACTTCCTAGTAAATCCTTTATATAATTTAAAGTGTTACTCCAACCAAAAAACAGTGGGTTTTTAAAAAAACAAACCAAAAAAACTGTTTTTAGTCAGAGTATTTTTTCCTATATTGGACGCCCTCCCCCCAAACAATTTTATGATATAGGAAATAGCTAAAACTTTCCTATGTTTTAGTGCTGGTGCCAAATTCTCCCTGCAGCTCGCCCCATCCTCCTATGCTGGCGTCACTCCCCCTTACTGGAGAGGGACAGATGGCAGGGTGGGCAGGCTGAGGGATGGTCCTTGCTGTCATTGTCTGGGGCCAGAAGGAGGTGGAGTTACATCTTTGGCAGCTTTTTTTTTGTAGCGAAGCACTGCACATACAGAGTCCAGGCACAGTGACCACTTCAGAAGGATGAAGTGGTTATGGTGCTTGAAATAACACATTAAATCCTTCTCACACAACATGATGATGTGAACACTGTAAATGCTTCACATTGAAAAACAGTGGATTCTCTGTAAGAAGCATTTGATTGGTTGTGAGGAGTGATTGGTGTCTTACTAGTACCCCAGTTCTTTTCTGCAAGAAGCACTAGATTGGACCTGAGATTATCCAGATCTCATAAGAGTAGGAACAGATGCATGGCCCGAGATAAAAGATACGTAAAAAATCACAGTTTAATAGATATAACCTAAAATGAAAACTTGCATGCATTTAATTATGCATTTTTCATTGGAGTTATATATAAAAACAGCTTGCAAAAACTGCAGTTCTCTTGTCGGCTGCCTTGACAAGACCGCCCCTTCTAACCCTGCCCAGACTTTCTGTGGCTGTTCAATCACAGACTTCCCAATGCAGCTCAATGAGACGTTTTTGCAAGGCAGGTGCCTATGAGCAATTGCTGCTTTTTGAGTTTAGCTCCACTGAGCTTAACAAACCAGGAAGTAACAGGACCAGTTGTCTTACTGACAGCCAGGGGTGTGTAACAAGGTAATTAATAAGGTGACAATTTTGATTGGAATCTGCACTTTTGTAAAATGAAAAAAGAGGACACACTCTTTATACATAAATCACGTCAGCAAGCTGAAGTGCTTTAGGGGTCTGGAGTGTCCCTTTAAGTGCAGGACAAGCTCATTGGCTGAGAGTGTCAGAGAGGTTCATGTTCTCCATAGGAAGTAGTGCAGATGAGAAGTGCCGACCATGCGGTGTATTTACCGCAAGGCTGACAAGGCATTTGCCTTGGGCGGCACTTTCAGGGGGGCGGCAAAGAAGGTCACCAACCAAACGCCCTGGCAAATGCCTTAACAGCCTCTTGTTCTGGGGGGCTCAGGAGCTGGCCGGGTGCCACCTCTGGGCCCCTCCGTGGCTGGCATGGGCTGATGTGGGAGGCGGGCGGCGAGGGACGACTCTGAGCTCTTCCCTGCTCAGCTCCCTCGCACACACTGCAGTGTGTGCCGGTGCCGGAATATGACGTCACTCCGACTCCGGCATCACTAAGAGGCACGTGAGGAACAGGGCCGGACTGGGGATTCCAAAGCAGCCCTGGAAAAAAAATCTATGCCAGCCCCATAAGTCATTCCGCCATATATTGTCGCATGTAATATGTAAGGCTATGTCTTGTCACCCTAGATGATTGATATATATATATATATATATATTGCTTTTTCCAATATAAAATATTGGTCCTTTCAGAGTAAAATTTTTAATTATACAGTAAGCATACTCACATGCAGACACAGACAATCTCACTGACACAAGCTGATTGATACACAGCCTCACAGACAAACAATCTCACTGAAATACATAAGGTCATTGACATAAAAACACGAGCACACTCAGTAGCAGGCGTACACACACACACACACACGCAAGCCCACTCACTAGCAGGCGCGCCCACACAAACAGCTTAATGTAGTGGCTCTGGTGTCTATGTGTCAGTCAATGTGTATGTCTGTTAGCGAATGTGTGTCTCTGACACTGAGTGTTTATGTGTCTGTCAGTGAGTGTGTATGTGTGTTTGTCAGTATCTGTCAGTGTGTGTGTGTGTGTCTGCCAGTGAGTGAGTGTGTGTGTGTCTGACAGTGGGTGTGCGTCTGTCAGTGAGTGTGTATGTGTCTTGTCAGTGAGTGTGTATGTGTATCTGTCAGTTAATGCGTGTGTCAGTTAGTGTGTCTGTCGGTGAGTGTGCGTGTCTGTTTGTCAGTGAGTGTGTATGTTTCAGTGAAAGTGTGTATTGGTTAAACAGTGTGTGTGACAATGACTGTGCATCTGTCAGTGAGTTTATGTCAGTGTATGCATCAATGAAGGTGTGTGTCTGTTAGGCAAAGAGCGCGTTGGTTTTTAACAGTAAGTGAAATTAAGAAGGGGGTGTGGGGTGCCTGAGAATTGTCATGCCTAGGGCAGCACAAAAACAGAATACACCACTGGTGGCGCCCCATAAATAAAACGGCAAACTGGTCTATAGCGGTCTAGCTAATTAGAAATGAAGACATCAGAGGACTTCTGACACCATAACCACTACAGAAGACTATAGTAGTTATGGTACTTTGAGTGTTTCTTAATATGAGTTTAATGACTTGAAAATAAATATATGGCTATGTTTTCCAAGGTACGTTGATGAAAAATCCTTATTCTCTGGATATTTTGGGATGAATACTATTCACTATTATTTGGGATCAATACTATTATCCTGATAGAAATTCTAGATAATTCTATTTATTGTACACAAGAATAATCAACTATTTCTCACATTCTGTATATACTAATTATTTATGTTTCTTGTGATTGTAAAAGTCACACTGCAAATATAACACATGCACTGTCTATATGTTCATCAAAATCTGCAATAATGTTTTTATTTTTCTATACTTTATTTATTTATTGTGTTGTTGTTGTTGTTAGTATTGTTGACCTCAAAGCACAATAATGGCCCCAGATCTGTAAAGGCCCTGACAGCTTGTCACGTGACACAATGGGATAGTTAATGGAGGCGTGGCCTCGATATCACAAGAAAACTTTCTCGTTGGTGCCCCGCCCAGTTTTCACCTTCCAAGGTTCTGATTGGCTAACGCGACTTCCGCGGGCGGGCATTCCAAAGTTACGTCATTTTGCTGCGTCGGCGGGAAAGGTTGCTGGGTGCAGTGGCGCCAGCATCGTAGTTAATGTAGTTAAAGACAATGGCCAACAGGAGGAAGGAAGCCGCGGGCGTGGAGGAGGATGAGGCCAAGAATGCAGACATGGAGGATGAGGAGGGTGACGATGGGAACAGGAGGCAGCTCAGGCATCATTACAGGGAACTCATGCAGAGCATGCAGAGTGAGTACCATAACCACTTACTGTCACCATAACCACTTACAGGCACCATGACCACTTACAGGCACCATGGAGGGGGGTACTCACTGATCAATCACTTCTAAACAGAAATGCAAAGTTCACACTAAACTAATCTGGGAGAACGTGTCTAACTAAAAATTTTAAATAAAAAAATCTGTTTTAAATGAGCAGTTTCAGTAATAAATCCCAGGAGTTATAAATTATAGTGAATTGGCAAAGAAAAAAGGAAAAAAAGCTATAATACTGCAAAATATAGTATAAAATAGCCACGCTGCAGAGCAGAGTTGGGGAATTGTTTTCCAAGTTGGCATGTTACGTCTTAAAATTAGCTGACGCTCCCAGTCTGTCACTGGCAGCCCTTAGTGAGTAATGCTTCAGAAACATTTTAGGAGCTGGACCATCCTATGGGGAGACTACACTTCATTGTTAAAAATTTTTAACACCGTTTATCACTTGAATGCAGGAAGGTGCATGCATCCAAGCTTTGAATTAATGCTTTCCCATTGGGGCGTCATGTGACCAGGTTTTACTCTAGAGGTGGAAGTGCCTCTACTGGTTATCTCCCTTGTCCCTCTAATTTTAAAGAATAAAAGTGTAAAAACAAGGTAAAAGTTGCCTAAAACCAAACGTCAGGCGAAGCTCCTGCTCCCCACTCCTAGCCTGACATCACTGGTGCCATCATGAGGTGCAATCAAATACTTCTCATGTAGTAGCATTTGATTGTACGGTTTCACTTGCTCAGAACATTTTGAGAAAAAAAAATAAAACACAAAAACTGAACTGAATAGGTAGACAAAGGCTTAAATGAAAGGTAGAAGAGTATTATGGGGCAGTGACAGATGTCATTCTTGCACAGATTTAACATAAGTCACGTGTGACAGGGGTGTAACTAGCCCCAGGCACAAAAATAAAGATATGTGTGTGCAGGGTTTCAAGCAGTAATGCTGCATATACAGACACCTACTACCATGACCACATCTAAAAGCAGAAGTGGCCATGGAAGTTGGAGTAACCCTTTAATCTACTTCATTATCTTGACTAAGTGCTGGAAAGTTACTTTAAAGTGGTTCTTTTACCAGTGACAGCTGCAGGAAATTTGCTTTATCTATGGAGGTTACCATGGTCATGTAAGGTCCTCCCTAGACTGTCCAGAAGAAGATGGCAGCGGCCGTGACGAATAGGTTCAGGTAAGAAGTACTCGCCTTTCCATGCCTCCCCTGGCCACCAGACCCCCAGCATTGATGTCAAATTCTGAAAAGTCCCCAGACGGTGACAGTGCTGTTTTAAATGCAAGCATCATAGCATTACTGGACATGAGAATTCCTAAGCGTTTCTACAGCCTTTAGCAGTTAAATTATACTGGTTTTATTTGTAGTGTATGTATATTTTGGTATATGTAGAATATTGCATATTCTATGTTTCTATTGATTATATATGGATGTGTGGATTGACATAAGTAACAGATGGTATAAGTGGCTTTCTTTGGATGAGAGCTCTGGAATGTAAGTTGGGGTTTTTGTCCTTATATGGCTAGATTAGGTCTCTCTTGGCTCTCTGGCTCTCTCTCTATGTAAAGATGTAACTCTCCCGTCAGGAGTCCAGCAATTACCATCTGCTGTTGAACATCCATTATCCTTTGTTGTTTTTTTATGTATCAGTAACTAAGAATAAACCTGAAGAAACCGTAAGTCAGATTGCGTATTAGTACTTTTCATTAATATAGACCTATATTAATGTGGCAAGCAAATTTGGCCCAAGACTATATATACAAAAGATGTGTGTGTGTGTGTCTCTCAATCAACTGAAGACAAGAAGAAATTAAGAGGATTCAACATTAACATTGACGATTCCAACCAGATTTTACACTGGCCAGCCAGCCAGTCTTCTGTTCAAATTTTGTTCCCACTTCAAGGGGGCAGAGAGAAGAATCGAGTTACAAAGCTGTTTTGGAACTGGGAAAACAAACTTGAAGAGGAAAAAAAAAAGAATCTAGACTGTCACAGAAGAACTGTGGTTTGTAAGAAAAAGAAAGTTTTCAAATCACAAAGACTGTACAAGACTATTTTCTACAACTGAGACAAAAAGCACAAGATACAACGTGAATTCTAGAAGCAAGCACGTGGCAGAGATTGGCAATCATCCAGATCCAAGTCCAGAACTGCGCAGCTGTGTGGATGAAGCAACTAAATAGACAGAAATAACTGATCTGGTGAGTAACATGGAATTCATAAATGACATTGCAAAGAAAAGTAAATTGCAGTTTGCATTTAATAGCCGCTATTCAGATGCTGTATTGTGGCAATCTTTATACACACAATGTGAAATTGATAATAAGAAAAAACAAAAGATCAGAAATGTTATGAAACTAGTCTGTACTTACAATGCATTGATTTGTAAACGAAATGCAGGTCAAGACAATTTAGAATCAGCAGATAAAGAAGTAGATTTGAATGGGTTAACAGAAGACAAATCAGATATAAATGAACAGTGTAACAATGTAACAGAGCACATGCTGTAACCCTGAGAGATTGTCAGAAAGTCTGTGAACTAGAGGATAGAGTTGAGTTAAGAAATGATCTTATTTGCCAGTTTAGAAATTAAGTAAAGCAAGTATGTGTTAATTCAAGAAAAATACAGGCACAGAATTTAATCCCAGAACCAATAGATACTGAAAATGTATTCTCACAGAGTGATTTGCAGAAATGTAAATTTCAAGACAGTGCTGCAAAACGTAATTTGAAAATCCATAAACAACAACTGAAAATTGTGAAATGTATTCCAGTTTATGACACGTCAGTGGATGCATTTACTAATGCTGAAATGTTTGAGTCAAATTTGGACAAATATAGCCAAAATGATGAACAAAGGAATAGACTATTTCAAATATGGCTGCCGACTCAAATGGCAAGTAGACTGACTGCGCCTGTAAAATGTGAGGACAATGATGAAATAATATATGGAAATAAGCAAGACAGATTAACACAATTAATAAAATTAACAGGGAATGATTTTGTAGACATTGAAATGTTGGAAAAACTAAAACCACACAAGGATGAGGATATTTTTAGTTTTCTTGTAAAATTTGAAAATGCATATAGACTTGTTGCTAATTTTTCTGAAGATCAATTAATGAATTTGTGAAAAAATTTCAAGATCTAGATCCAACTGTGATTGTGACAGCTAGAGTAAAAATATCTTTGACAGAAGTTGCTTTATTCTTAGATAACTTAAGGAGAGAAATCAGAAATGAAAAGATTAAAATGACTTGTGGCATTAGGCAGAGAAAGAAGTGCAGATTTGACACCCCTCGTCCCCCCCCCCCTTCTCCTCCTTCTTCTAGGACAGAGTGTAAAAGAGTGATAGACAGCTGAGCCCCTCCCAATTTGCTCAACTAAAAACTAGAGTTAACAATCAAAGGCAGAATATAACTCCTAAAGTTACTTGTTTTTGGTGTAATAAACAACATTATTTAAGGTCTTGTAGATATTTTATCCGAGACATCAAATCAAAAGCAAATGAGAAATTAAATTTGTTGATTGAAAATTTTGACAGAGAAAATACATGTGGAGATAAATCAATAAAAGCCTTTCCTTGTAAACTGATAATCAGACAAATAAGAGCAGTTTTAGCTAAATCGAAATTAGGAGACAGACAAGCAATGCAGTGTAACACAGACAGTTATAAGAATCAAATAACTTCGAGATATGATCAGTTTAGAGAATGAGCATGGATACGTGTGCCAACAGATGTACACAGGCTGATTCCAGAATTAAGAACAGCACAAGAATAGAGATCTATGTTAGTTTGTTGTTTTACTGAATTGTTAGTCTGAACTGTTTTTTTTTTTTTTTTTCATTGTTTTTGTGTGTGTTATAGGAAAGTATTAGGTTAATTAAAATAAAAATGTACATCAAGTTTGCAAATATGGCATAATGAAATACACTAATGTACCAGTTAGGAACATGCAATGTATGTTATATTGGGTGTATGCGATTATACAGTAACTCCAATCATTTTACAGAAGGAAAAAAACAATAGATTTATTCTTTGTTGCTTCTGAGGTTGATTTTAAAATCTTTGATTTAATTCATGAGAATGAGATTTTAATGTCATGACTGATAATGGATTACTATATTTTGCAAAGCCTGGACATACATATGTTTGGATTATATCGAAGACAAAAGTTTTGATAGGATAAAACCTAGATTTGCAGATAGATTTGATGTAGGAAACAATATATGTCTTTTGCAGTTTGTTTCATGTGACAAAATAATGCCAGTGTTAAGACAAAATGGCTATTATAGGTAAAGTATAGTGGAAAACAATATTTTTTTTTTTGTAACATCTGATCTGACATGTGATTAGGTTATACCTCCAGATTCTTAAACAGTTTAAAGGGGGGTATGATTAATAAGGTATGATTAATAAAAAGTTTGAAAATTTAAAATGTGTAGAAAAGATATTTTGATATAAAGGAAATTACATCACATGACATAAATGCAATGACCACTAGATGGTAGATCTCATGAGAAGAAATTAGAATGTTTTGGAGTCCATGTAATTCAATGTTAAACTGTATAATAATGAGATATAAACATTGTAAGCCATTGTATTGATGCACATGTTTTTTTGTTTTAATGTAGGTAAAGCGTGACAGATCCTTGTGGCAGTAAATCAGGAAAGCATTCCTTCAGACAACTGGACATCGACTGTTGGAAAGAGACTTTTCATCTGATCTGCAAACTGTGATGGAAGAGTCTGCAGAGTTCATTCGATACAGAAGATTGACAGACTTACAAAGAAATAAAAGATTGACACTAACATACATATCAATTCCTAAATATTAACGAAGAAAACAGACAATGAAAAGTTATTTAACAGTTATGAGTGTATTAATACCAAAAGAGAGTACTTATAAATGTGTAACACATGGAGTAAAATAATGAAAGGATAGTATTATAAAGAGAACTATTACATTAGTATCTATATACAGAATGAGAAGTATCAGAAGTAGATAAAATATGAAGTTGATTAAAGGATTATGGTTACTTAATACTACAAAGATTGAGTGCAATAGTATTTCATAGATTCACTAGAATAAATATTTTGTTTATAATCGAGATGAAGTGAAACAAACAATGGTAACATAAGGAAGGATAATTTATATTGATTAATATTAAGTAATGGTATACATTAAGAATGCCTTGGATATAAGAGTTCAGAGATCCAAGAGGAATTGAATTGAGTTTAGCTAAGAGTATAAACACAATTTATATTTGACCTAAGTCTATAAAGGTATGGACTAAGGAGAATAGGTTTCTGGATATGACGATATCCAATGAATACGTTGTTAAGTTGTTTTAGGACTCCCTTGAGTTTGTTAGACACAGACTAGGAATACGTTTCTGGACAGTATGGCCCAAAGTTTATTTTAGTCAGTTGAAGTGTATTAAAGAATACGGATTGGTCAGAACAAATGTTAAGGTAACATTAGGGCAATCCTACTTTTATGTTGAGATGTATTACATTAATAAGTCATCACAATGCTAATGAAGAGAGTGATGATAATGAATTTTAATTATTCTTTCCAAGTTCTTTTAAAGTAAACTGTTTCTGTTGAATGAAAAGTTTGTTACAACAAGGTGGAATTTTAGTCAAAATTATAATTATGTAAACAAAAACAAATCTATGATAGAAAGATATCTGGGTGAAGAATTTCTAGGACACTAAGTATTGTCAACACCATGAACATTATTTGAAGAGTTATTATAGAACTTCATGGATGATAACACATCCTTTGAGACTTATAAGCAGTGTTGATATATTTCAGGTAGTTAGAGCCTACTGAATATACAAATTAAATACTATGATTGTAAAGTACTGATACAATCATCACTAGTTGGTATTAATGGTATAGGAATGTAATTCATGAATACAAATGACCTAAAGATTTTAAGTTACTAGAAAACATATGACTCATGGACGTATATTATAGTAATACATGTATTAGTACTTAAGTAATATCAGGTATTGAGAATGAAAATACTATGCTATATGTGTCTGTAGGAATATGATAGTGATACACAGTTATTTAGAAAGTTACGATCTTGATTTTGTTATCTACAAAGACATGACTGTACCTGAGCAGGTTGATCTTTCTCATTGCTTTACATTGTTTATTGGATCAACACTTGTAAATATTTTATTTATTATTGTTATATATGTACATATTCAAGTAGTTATGGTGTAATATGGATATCAATACATAGCTGAAAAATAGGGAGTTTGAAGTAAAGTAAGCAGTATAATGGATAGAAACTCGACCTTCTAAGAACTCTCATATAATAGAAAGTTGTGACTACATCTTGTTCTATGTTCCATGACTGTGATACGAGTGATGTATGAATGGACAGGTTAGTGACATTATGGACACAAACAGAGGGAATGTAGAATATTGCATATTCTATGTTTCTATTGATTATATATGGATGTGTGGATTGACATAAGTAACAGATGGTATAAGTCACATGGCTTTCTTTGTATGAGAGCTCTGGAATGTAAGTTGGGGGTTTTGCCCTTATATGGCTAGAGTAGGGCTCTCTGGCTCTCTCTCTATGTAAAGATGTAAGGATGTAACTCTCCCATCAGGAGTCCAGCAATTACCATCTGCTGTTGAACATCCATTATCCTGTAACATCCTTTGTTGTTTTATCATGTATCAGTAACTAAGAATAAACCGTAAGTCAGATTGTGTATTAGTACCTTTTCATTAATATAGACATATATTAATGTGGTGAGCAAATTTGGCCCAAGACTATATATACAAAAGACGTGTGTGTGTTTGTGTGTGTGTGTGTATATATATATCAATCAACTGAAGACAAGAAGAAATTAAGAAGATTCAACATTAACATTGACGATTCCAACCAGATTTTACAGTATAAAAGATCTCTAATATATAACTTCCATATTAAGCAAAGTAAGTTATCGTTACTGAAACCATAACGGTCTTTTTTTTTTTTTTTTTGCGTTTTCAATAAAGATTTACATTTTATGGGATAACATAAAAAATGAGTTGGGATTACCCTAAAAAAAGTTGGGCTAAGCTTCTCTCACAATATCTAGCCATTTTCCTACAGCATAGCTGTTATGCAAGTGTTGAAATTTGATGGCTGTACCGGATAAGTACATACAAGGTCACAAATGGTATGCTTAAACACAATTCAGGAAAGAAAGAACATGTATGTATATGTTTAATAAAAAAAAATACCTGCCGAGAATTAAAACTCTGAACTCTGCAATTAAGTGGTTGGAAGGCTAATTGACTGGTGCCATTTATTAATTTGTTTACAAATGATCACTAAACATGCTGTATGTTTACATTTCTTACCTTTCTCCATAGATAGTGTTATGTGATTAATATGTTGTGATGTTATTTGTATCTACAGATAACAGAGAGGATATGCTGAGCTCCAGAAGCAACAAACTTACAGAAACTCTTGAGGTGGCCAACAAACTGTTTGAAGGAGGTTAGTGACCTAAAGGGGACATTAAAGGTTTCTCACCACTCTAAAACACCACCTGTACGTGTCCACTGTAAGAACATGGCACCAACTCACCCAGCTTCTATGTCCACCACACTCACTACATCATGCTGCTTCTGACATTTTAGAGCATATTTGAAAAATGTTGAAAATATATTTATAAAAGGGACACTATAGGTCTTCAGATCACTTCGTCTCCTTGGAAATGGTCTGAGCACTGCCCTTTTCCCCCTTAGTCCTGGGAAAAAACTGCAATCTTTACATTGCGTTACTAAGAAAGCCACGAGAGGTGATCCTGGGAGTTTACCGGACTCTAGGTCGTCTGGCACTGGATATCCTCACGTTCTTCATGAGGACATCCAGCATCAGTAAAATCCCCATAGGAGGGCCTAATGCACTCGCCACACATGCACATTAGAACCCCCGTCAGATGAGATCGGCGGAGGCAAAGCACCCAGCGCTGGAATCAGGTAAGTAAATAAAGTTGTTGGTTTTTTTTACACTTTATGTGCTGGGGGAGAGGACCAAAGGGCACTATATTGTTAGGAAAACAACTTTGTTTTTTGGAACACTATAGGTTCCTTTTGAAATTTTCATGTATGACATGATTTAAATGTTAATAACAGCGAAGTTAGTAAAATGTTACGAATGCATTACTAAATTTGTGATTACACCTTGTCTCATTTTAAGCTTTCCTGCACAACTAGAAGGAGAAATGATTTACTCTTGATCTCTCTTCCCTTTAAATCTGTAAGCCGTGCTGAGAGGCACGCTGGCTATTTGCTACAACCTTTTAAATGCCCTCTGCAGAGATTTCAACTTCTCTGCTCTGTTGTGTAACCTTTGTAATGTTGGAGAGTTATGTGCACTCATAGGAGCAAGAAACTGTTTGCTTTCCATCAGACACTGTCACACTGACTGCCAGGTTGTAAGGAGAATGACAAGCAATAGAAACATGCTGCCCTTGATGTAATAAATGACAACTGCATTTCTTCTAGTATCTCAATCTGTCCTGGGTTGCTCTGCTTTTTGGAAGCAACTCTAGTGGCTGTCTGAGTGACTGCCACTGGAGGTGTCACTAGGGAGCAATGTAAGCACTGTCTCTTTTCTCTGAAAAGGTAGTGCTTACAGCAAAAGGCCTGGAGGGACTTATTAGACAATAAGCTCTAGTTGTTTTGATGACTATAGTGTCCCTTTAAATTTTGCATTGTCCTCTTAGTAGCATCTGATCCTTGCAATATATTGTATAATTATGCTTCTCTCATTTTACCACTGCTTTCTGGGGTCACATATATTCCAGCTCTCGATAAATGTTTAGCCTGTTGCATGTAATGTTGTTACCCATAAAAGAATCACCTGTGGGGTCTTTGCATATATTTCTCTCTCTCAAAGAGCCCATGAGGTGACAGGTCTGGTTATATCGTGGCACCAGGGGGGAGAGCTAGGTAGACTTGATTCCTCTTATTAATACTGCCATCTTCTAAGTCCTGGCCTTTAGCTCCAGTTAAATAGCTGCCTCACTAGTAGTTTTCTGTACGTGCAAGAGAACAGTATGTGGATCTGTGAAAAACAGCGTTCCCTTCCATATCTGGCAAGAATATATCTGTGGAAAATGGTACCTTTGCCACATGTTCAAAGTTCAATCTCTAATTTTTCAAATATTAATTTCCCAACACAGGCTTTGTGTTTTCAAGATTATATCTTTAGTTTAAAAAAAAAAAAAAAAGCAAAAATAACAAAGCCATTTTTAATTGTGTGGCTTCCACTTTTTTCATGCTTTATTTATTATTTTGTTTTGTGTGCAGTATCCCGTGCCAGAGAAGCAGCACTTGATGCCCAGTTCCTAGTATTAGCATCTAACCTTGGGAAGGAAAAAGCCAATCAACTTCATGCTGACATGACTGTATTTGACCCAACATCATTTGCAGAAGACCTGGTATGTAAGATTCAAAGGGCATATATTGCTGTTCTATGTCTATGACCAGTGTGATGAATTTTCATTCGTTTTTTACGGGACTATAACTACTTTTTGTAGTGGGTATAATGCTAGGAAGCTGTTTTTTGCAAACTGACCTATTCCTACTTTACACTTTCCTGTATTGATCTGTAGAGTGCAAACTCTGTCTTTCCCCCTGTTGTCCTACAGAAAATTATAGATACACAATCAGATGTTGAATTATTTGTATGATGTGAGCGCTCCCTGCTTGCTAACACTATGCATGGCAGTCTTAATACTTGTAGAAGCTGGACTTCTGCACATGCAGCATTGTTCCCTGCCTCGCTCAATGAACAATTACGGCACAGCTCCTAGAAATGGAGTGGACCTGGAACTCCAAGCTAAACTTCCCCATGTGACATCTGTGGTTCTGGGGTGTAGATTGTGCACAGCAGATTTAGATGAGAATAAAGAATGCTTGGTATTCACAAGGTAAATGTACATGGACAGCTAAGTTGCTAACCATAAATGCATACAGCTGTGGTTTAATTCTACCTGGAAGGTAATCGAGATATTTCCAGTGTTCTGAACTGGCACACCAAAAGCAGAAGTAATATGTTTCTGGTGCTTAGACTAACAATTGTAACCCTTTCTGACAAGTATCCAAATAATGAATATGGAATTGGCTTGGCTAGCCATTCTTACATTGTAATGTAATAATAATTAAAAAAAAAAGTATTGCATATCATTTAGATGTCAGAAGGTTCTCAAATGCACTGAGAAAGATGGTGTCGATGCAGAAAAGGCTCCATTGTTTAAAAATTGCTTGGACTCTGATAGAGTTTCTGGTTCTAACCAGTGAGGACCCATTGAAATTGTGCAGACTCAATTTTGAATCCCAACCCAGTTAATGGCTAAGAACCACTTCTGTAAATGCAGTTGTGGGCACAGGAAGTGGATCAGATCCCTGGTTTAAAAAAATAAATAAATAAAAATAATCTTTAAGGCATTGTGTATATAATGCATTAAAATTGTAGATAATATACATGAACACTGTAGACTGGAGCTTTGGACTGTTATTAAACCGCAACTATAAAGCAATTCAATTTTCTCACGTTAATATTGCATATCTGCATCACAAAATACTGAACGTCCTCAGGATTTATTGATGCTCAGATTTGGTATTCTACCAGCAGAATAGACACTTTATTAAGGTGACTTGGGTTCTCTGCTCCATTCTAGATTTGGGAAGTGGTCCTGGTATTGTATTGCTTATTGAGTCTCTTATTTGCATTTAAGATTCCTATTGGTTTCTGATTTACATACAGTTATATCTTTACTTTTTTTTTATTTGAAGGGGGCTGCGTGTTAACATTTAAAATTCTGCAAAATATAATAAACATTTAATTGCGGCGGGGGGGAGGAATATTGTTGCAAACATTTCTAAACGTAGCAGGAATGTATCTTTGTATCGTAAAGGGAATTTGTTGGCTAAACTTTGGCTTGTAGTAGATTTGAGATTGAATTTAAAATGTGTGTCAAAATAGCTAATTTTGGAAGAGTAAACAATACAAATGAGAACTGCAGTTCAGTTTAGTGAATAATATCTTAATATAAAAATAAAATCGGTCAAGTGGTGATTTCTTTTTAGAAAAATACAGCTAGATTGCATAGTACAGAGGACAGATACAGCTCTGTTCATATTGCTTTTATTTAAATTGTTTGCATTACTTATTTGAGTTACGATACTATGATTTTTTTTTTTAATATTGTGAGCTATAAAGTATTTTTCAGATATCAAGTCGAGTAATTTCTTGTCTTTTATTACTAGCTCTCATTTATGGGTCTAAATCGCTTGGAAAATCCTGATAGTGATAGTGATGATGAAGGTTTCGCCAGAGGATTTTTACCATCAGATGCCTGGGAGAAGCTCGGAACTGAGGCAGATAAATACTTCAAAAGGACTACAACATTTCATTATATGTAAGTCTTGCTTGAGCAAAGTGTTTTTTTAAATCTAATCATATTTTGGTGTGAAATGCAGGAACATGTTCTATTTCATACATGATTGCCAAGTCTGCGAGGCAGGTTTGTCAAAACGTAACTTTGTTGGTATTAACAAATGGTCCTTATTGTCTAGGTTGGGCTCATTCAAAACTGAACCTCCAGTTGCCCGTCCACGAATTGAAAGACAGCGAAAGAACAAGGTGGAGGAAACACGAGCTATGCCTGCACAGGTCTGTTGATGAGAGTTGTAGCTCTTAGTACAGCTAGAGCAGTAAAAGTCACCCATCCCCCCACAAAACCCACTATAGCTCTCCCTAGTCTGAGCATACGAACAGTTAAATAGTATATTTAAAATTGTACATGTGCTATTTTAATATTGTATTTTTGTTTATTTTAAGTTGAAAAAAATGGAGGAATCTCATCAAGAAGCCACAGAGAAGGAAGTAGAAAGAATTCTGGGATTCCTACAAGAATACTTTAATCAAGATCGTAAGTCCAGGTCAAATGGATAAAATTTAAAGGACAAAAATGACTTTGCAACATCAGCAGACTTGGGCAAATACTGCTGCTTAGCTGAATTGGAAATTGATGGATTTTTCTTTTTCCAACTTGGTTTGTTTGACCAACATATTAGCAACTTACTATCTAATGAATGTAAAGTAGTGGGCTATAATTGAAAATGTAAAAATCACTGTTTGTTCATAATTAAATAAAGTGATAATATTAGAGAACTTTTTACAATTGTAAATAGATAAAAATTTTAGTATATCACACTGTAGGACAAATCGGCAAAATAAATTACACAAATGTGTTTATGATGGACATGGGAGTCAGAGCTCAGCATATGCCACTTAGATACTGCTGCAGCTATCTCTATGTGAGCTAAAGAACCAAGTTTCCGGATTGATTTGATTGTTCGTTTAGATTTTTTTTTTTTAAACAAGTGCCATCTGCTAAATGCAAACTATTTAGAATAGTAAAACCACCTTTTAATATTTGTTTCTGGCATTTGCTAAACTTTGTTTTATTAAATGCTTAGTGAACGTTTTTGTAAATTCTGCTATTTTGTGTTTTCACAGCCGATGCACCCATTTCCTTTTTCGATTTTGTAATTGATCCAAAGTCCTTTTCTCGTACGGTTGAAAACATTTTTCACGTGTCTTTCATTATTAGGGTAAGTACCCCTTTCTGTATACAGTAAGGGGGGGGGGGGAGTATTTGATCCTCTGCTGATTTTGAACGTTTGCCTACTGACGAAATTATTATTCTCTACTTTTAATGGTAGGTGTGTTTCAACAGTGAGAGACAGAATAACCACAAAAAAATCCAGAAAAACGCATGTCAAAGTTATGAATTAATTTGCATGTCAATGAGTGAAATAAGTATTAGATCCGCAAGATTTCTGGCTCCCAGGTGTCTTTTATACAGGCAACAAGCTGAGATTAGGAGCACCTTTTTAAAGGGAGTGTTCCTAATCTCCTCTCCTCTCTTACCTCTATAAAAGACACCTGTCCACAGAAGCAATCAATCAGATTCCAAACTCTCCACCATGGCCAAGACCAAAGAGCCGTCAAAGGATGTCAGGGACAAGATTGTAGACCTACACAAGGCTGGAATGGACTACAAGACCATTGCCAAGCAGCTTGGTGAGAAGGTGACAACAGTTGGTGCGATTATTCGCAAATGGAAGAAACACAAAATAACTGTCAGTCTCCGTTGGTCTGGTGCTCCATGTAAGATCTCACCCCGTGGAGTTTCAATGATCATGAGAACAGTGAGGAATCAGACCACAACTACACGGGAGGATCTTGTTAATGATCTCAAGGCAGCTGGGACCATAGTCACCAAGAAAACAATTGGTAACACACTACGCCGTGAAGGACTGAAATCCTGCAGTGCCCGCAAGGACCCTCTGCTCAAGAAAACACATGTACAGCCCTGTCTGAAGTTTGCAAATGAACATCTGAATGATTCAGAGGGGAACTGGGTGAAAGTGTTGTGGTCAGATGAGACCAAAATCAAGCTCTTTGGCATCAACTCGCCGTGTTTGGAGGAGGAGGAATGCTGCCTATGACCCCAAGAATTCCATCCCCACCGTCAATCATGGAGGTGGAAACATTATGCTTTGGTGGTGTTTTTCTGTCAATGGGACAATGGACAGGGCCATGTACCATCAAATCTTGGATAAGAACCTCCTTCCCTCAGCCAGGGCATTGAAAATAGGTCATGGGTGGATATTCCAGCATGACAATGACCCATAACACACAGCCAAAGCAACAAAGGAGTAGCTCAAGAAGAAGCACATTAAGGTCCTGGAGTGGCCTAGCCAGTCTCCAGACCCTAATCCCATAGAAAATATGTGGAGGGAGCTAAAGGTTCGAGTTGCCAAACGTCTCCCTCGAAACCTTAATGACTTGGGGAGGATCTGCAAAGAGGAGTGGAACAAAAACCCCTTCTGAGATGTGTGCAAACCATGTGGCCAGCTACAAGAAACAGCTGACCACTGTGATTGCCAACAAGGGTTTTGTCACCAAGTACGAAGTCGAAGGGGTCAAATACTTATTTCACTAATTGACGTGCAAATACATTTATAACTTTTTGACGTGCGTTTTTCTGGATTTGTTTTTGTTATTCTGTCTCTCACTTTTGAAATACACCTACCATTAAAATTATAGACTGATCATTTCTTTGTCAGTGGGCAAACATTTAAAATCAGCAGGGGATCAAATACTTTTTTCCCTCACTGTATGTATGGACTTTCTGTGGGAAGCCTCTTTATACTGGTCTTCTTAGTTTCGCTTGCCTTATAAGAACTTCGGCAATTACTATTATTAAACTAATTACTAAGCCTCCTCCCCATTATTTATCCCAAACACTCATAAAAGAAAACACCTGTGAATTTATATATAGTATTTTCCTTATTGTTTTGTTTTTTTTGAATAACTATCAGCAGAAAGGCTTTGTGTTCGTTTGTTCTAACAATGCATCTCATCTTTCAGCTCATTCTGTGGTTTTTTTTTTGGTTTTTTTGTCTCTTTATTTAAAGAAGACACTCTGTGATAAATTTCTAATCTTGTCTTTTTTTTATTTTTTTAGTATTTATAAGTGTTTATTGTCATCTTTCAGTGTTCTCTTTTCAAGAAGTTTGAGTGATCTGCTACACCACAAAGTCACCCTGGTGTCCATGATAGTCTTTATTGACAATAGTTGTCTTTCTTGCTTATATTCTAGTTCTGTACATTGCAGTAATGTTTACACATTGTTTTACTTTGACTCCCCCCCCCCAGGATGGATTTGCAAGAATAAAACTGGACAGTGACAAGCTTCCAATAATAGGCAAGTACTCACTGTGTGTTAGCCACCTCCCTGTTATCAAGCAGATTTAACAATATATCTGTTTCTAAAGATTATAATAGCCAAATGCTGTAACTGTAGCTGTGCAGTGGGGAGAAGAGCTTTAAAATCTGCTCTTTAATTTTAGACCACAGATCCATATGACACTAGACATTGTTACTGGACTGGATAAAGGCTTGTGTTCTCTGCATATTCTCTGAATGGGAAACTGCTGCCAATTTAACACTTGTTAGTGTATAATATCCATTCTGAGCCAGTGTCTTTTCAGAAAATATTGTTAAGTCTACCTGCATACTGCTTTAGCTAATCATGTATAAGTACTGCATATTTGTATAGTGTAAATACTAAACGTAATCCTAATTTCCTTTGTCAGGCCAAATGATCTCTTCATGTTATACTAAGAAAGATGGTAATCAGTGGCGTATGATGTAACCATGCAGTACATGATGGTATCACATGCAATAAGGAAGTTCAGAGAACCACTGGTACATCCTTATTGCCCAGTACCAGCTAGAGAGGCAAGAGTCAGAATCTGCCTGTTTGCACATTTCGATCTTTCTTGTCCATGTAAGTTGAAAAGAGGTTTCAACTTCCGAAAACCTCATTCAAAGAGGTGGACCCTGTCCTGAACCCTCTCCTCAATACACACCTAACAGTCCAGGATTTAGAGATTACCCGGGTTTGTCTAAACTGTTAAGAAAAAAAGAGAAAAAAAAACATTAGAGTCTAAGATGTCTTTAGTTGTTGTTGGTTTTTTTTAACACCTCAGACACACCTGATTATTCCCTAAATCCTGGAATGTTGGGTGTGCCTTGAGGAGAGGGTTGAGGAGCACTGCTCTAGAGACCTGCATACAAAACCCCTCACTAGAATTGCAATCACCTGGCTGCCAGGTAAACTATTATAGTGGTTAACAGTCTAAATGGGACTGTGGCTGGGAAAATGTTTGAAAGGTTATTAAGGGATAAAATTCAAGAATTCCTTGAGAAGGACATGGTTATCAGCAAAAATCAGCACGGTTTTATGAAGCACAGGTCATGTCAAACTAACTTGATTGCGTTCTACGAAGAAGTAAGTAGAAGTATAGATCAGGGTGTTGCCGTGGATGTGATCTATTTGGATTTTGCTAAGACATTTAATACAGTTCCACACAATAGATCAGTGTTCATACTCAAGGAAATTGGTCTAGATGAAAATGCTTGTTCTTTGGTAGAACATTGGCTTAAAAACAGAGTACAAAGAGTTGTCATTAATAGTAAATTTTCAAGCTGGACAGAGGTGGCAAGTGGTGTCCCTCAGGGGTCTGTTCTGGGACCCCTTCTATTTAACATGTTTATAAATGATCTTGAAGACAGCATTGAAAGTCATGTTTCAGTGTTTGCAGATGACACAAAACTTTGTAAAATAATACAATGTGAGCAAGATATTACTTTGCTGCAGAGGGATTTAGATAGACTGGGGGACTGGGCACTCAAATGGCAGATGAAATGTAATGTTGAAAAATGCAAAGTTATGCACTTCGGCATAAAGAATACACAAGCAACGTATACCCTTAATGGAAGCGAATTAGGGATAACACACGAAAAGGACTTGGGAATTGTTATAGACAACAAACTATGCAACAATGTGCAATGTCAATCAGCAGTGGCCAAGGCCATTAAGGTATTGTCATGCATGAAAAAGGGCATTCAAGGGCATATAATTTTGCCTCTTTATAAATCACTGGTAAGACCCCATATTGAATATGCTGTGCAATTTTGGGCACCTGTTCTAAAGAAGGATATTATGGCACTAGAAAAAGTGCAGAGGCGGGCTACAAAATTAATAAAAGGAATGGAACATATCCACTATGAAGAAAGGTAAACAAATTTAAACCTATTTAGTTTAGAAAAACGTCACATGAGAGGGGATATGATAACATTATACAAATATATTCGGGGCCAGTACAAACCATTGTGTGGAAATCTATTCACAAACCGGACTTTTCATAGGACACGAGGCCATGCGTTTAGACTGGAAGAAAGAAGATTTCGTCTATGGCAAAGGAAAGGTTTTTTTACTGTAAAAACAATCAGGATGTGGAATTCTCTGCCTGAAGAAGTGGTTTTATCAGAGTCCATACAGATGTTCAAACAACTTCTAGACGCATACTTGCAAAAACAGAATATTCAAGGATATAATCTTTCAATGTAGGGTAATAACTGCTTGATCCAAGGATAAATCTGACTGCCATTCTGGGGTCAAGAAGGAATTTTTTTCCTAGCTTGTTGCAAAATTGTGCTTCAAACTGTTTTTTTTTGCCTTCTTTTGGATCAACAGCAAAAAACAAATATGAGGAAGGCTGAACTTGATGGACGCAAGTCTCTTTTCAGCTATGTAACTATAGAATTGGAGGGAGCCCTCTCTTTCAAATGATGGGCTACTTGCCATTAGACTTTTACAAAATTATTAGGGGAGGGAGCTATTACATGTGTCCCTAGAATAAATAGACCAGCATGAAAGTGAAACCCGATTTTTCTTAAAATTCTGTCATTTTGTGTCTGTAAAGGAGAATTATTGGTGCAGTTACTTTTTGTCATTTCATTATGCTATGTGAGTTTGGACATTGATAGAATAATGAATCCAATATTATTTTACAATATATTAAATCACCCACTGCGAAATCTGAAATTTGTAGTGTTTTAAAATATGTAATTTTTATGGTTTGACTCTTTTTTTTTTTTTATCACTTGGATATAACTCTATTCCACTGGTATCCCAGCTAATCTCGGTGAGGTGACTGCTGGTACAAGTTGCATGAAATTATTTAGGTCACATGATCGTTACTTTGAGAGATCCTGTAGCGAGCTTCTCAATCCTTTAACTTATTCAACTTAACATGTTGTGTGCTTTGTTTTTGTTTGTTTTTTTTCCCCTTCTTTTCATATATTAAAAAACAGAGCCCATACCTCAGAATGGTAGTGAAAGAATTGATAAAGACAACCAGCCGCGCTATCAGAACGTTGTATCACTCAGCCACCAGGAATGGATGGTAAGAATCCTTTCAACTACTTAAATAACCTGTATTTGATATACTTATGTCAGTCATTTATTATCCTTCATTTTACTTTTGGCAGGACATTGTAAAAACATTTGAGATAACAGAACCTATGATTCCTCCTCCAAGCTGAGTGATTGTAAGTATGTTGTGCATATCAACACTCTTTGTGTAAGTTACATACACAGTTGCCTATATTGACTACCTATAGCTTGTTCATGAAAAAATAAATAGTTGCGGTGCACTCAGACTACAAAAAAAACACACAAAGAAGCCTTCTAAATTGCCTATCTAAGAATAAATATGGGGATTTAGTTCCACCATATGATGTTAAGTCCACCACTGCTTTCAAAGTACCCCAATGTTGGTGGGTCCTATGCTAAAATGTGGGGGACAAATTAAATAGTAAAAGTGTTAAAAATAAAGTGTATTAAATTCTTGTAAGAGCAAAGTGAGTATATAAAAATAAAGTGATGAAATGAATTTAATTTCATTCCCTATTGCATTAATAAACATTAAAGTGTTCAACACAGAAGGTGGAAGTTTACGAACATCTGAAGAATGGTATCACAAGTGTTCCACCCTAGAATGTGTCTGCTTCCTTCTTAGATCTGTGTGTGTTTTTATTTGGGGGACAAAATTGCTGCAAAATGTTGCTCCAGCCTTTTCAACAAATTAGTCAAACTGACAATAAGGCTTTAAAGGAAAATTTACTGATACACCTGGACACCCTGTAAAAGTAAATTGGTCATGACCAGTTCACTTGAGCAGAAATCACCCAATAGCCTATGAATATATTATTGATTATAGAGACAAATTATATTTTCAATTAAAACAATTTGAGATAATTACCTCTCCTTCTGTCCAGCATTGCTGTGCCTGCAGCTGCTTGTGTGTTAACCTAGTGCAACATCCACCTCCAGTCCAAAAATGCTCTGTTTTGAATTGTCCTCCATCCTTTTTTCTGGGAGAAGGTGCTTGCAAGTACAAAAACGGTTCCATCTGTCTGTGGCCATGCATGCTCAGCACAATGAACCACGGGGGCAGTCTTTGAGCTTTTGAGGTGTTGCACTTTAAAAACCTCTATTATGTCAAGTGTTATCAAATGTAAGGATGCATTATAACCATTTTATTAAGCTGAGGTGGTTATGGTACCTAAAGTTTCCATTTTGACATGATCTATTTTCTTATCTTTGAATAAATACACATTTGATGTATGTGTTTAACCAGACAATTAGTTTGAAATCCTAACTCCCTGTTTTTTTGTTTCTCTGTTCTCTAGGTTCATGCGCTGTATGTTTTACTACCTCATTCCTAAGGCAAATTTGTTTTATATATCCTGTAAATTGTTGAAAATGTATTATAGCATTAAAACACCTGTGTAATCTATTTTTTTTTATTTAAAAAAGTTGTGTGTGTAGACTGACATTCTACTATCTCTCCATGCACATACATTTAAACATTCTTAATATAGGTGTACATATTTATATATAGAGACCATTTTAAAATGTATTGTTAAGAGTACCATACCTTACATAGTAAAGATCTAGTTTTTCTTGCTTGTGTGTGACTTCTAGTTCTTTACTGTACCTGCTATGCCTATACTGTGTTCATTTTTTTTAAAGGGCAGCCTACTTGGCAAAACTAAAGCTCATCTAGAGTGACGTGGCACTATCCCAGTTTCATATTAAATCATTTAGGAACTGTTTGATTTATTTATAAAATATTTTTTGACCAGGAAGGATACATTGATTTCTTTTATTTAGATTTATTTATGAAATAAATATTTCCCCAGTTTAATATTTCATAATTTAGGAACTGTTTGATAGAAACAGGTGCTTTCTTGCGGGCCCAATGTCCCAACCAATCTTTACTAAAAACTCACAGATTGCACTTCCACATTATTATTGATCATTTGGTACCAAACTGGACAAAATTGTTTGGTTTAGAGTGCTGGGGGAGGTGGGGAAGAGACAAGTTAGGCCACCAAATGAATACAGCACCAAGGTACTCTAGGCAACATAACCAGTATTGTGTGCTGCAGTGATATTGTTACTTAAGATGCCCATCTAATGTCTCTATTGTTTTAAATATGAATGCTCTACAAGGCCAAATACATTTAGTCTAAATATATAACGTTAGCAGCACGGACACTTTGTAGGATCTATGCAGAACAACCCAATAGCTAATTAAGCTAAATTGGTTAACTGCTGGTGAAAACTCCAACCCTGCATCTGCTTGTATAAAATTGGCTGTAGATACCCTGGTGCACATGAACAGGACAATGGCACCATTGGACCGTTTAGTTGCCCGCAACACAGATCTGCAGCAGTGTTAAGTATGTTTTGCATACATACAAATATTTCAAACTTTGAGTGTGAGCTGTCTGCTATGCAATAAAACCCTGGATTAAATGTTCCTTCTAAGTGCTGTCTCTTTCTGTAATTGTACATGAACCCAGACCTGCACCCTGGCATTTGCAAAGACCGAAAAGCTGTTGAGTGCTACGTACCTTGGGTGAATTTTATGTACAGCACTTTACAACAGGGAAAGTGTTTTTTTGTTTTTTTTCTCCATATTATCTATATACACAATCCCCCCCCCCCCCCCCCAAAATACCAGAAAAAGTACATTGTGCAGTTGGTGTAGGTATAGCATACATAATAAAGTAACCTGAATATGAATGAACGTGAAAATTAAGAAATTTCCCTTTTATTTCAGTCATACATTTCACAAATAGACCTGTGGTTCCAAGCTCCATGGATTTTGACACTTTAAAAAAAAAAAAAAATATATATATATATATATATATATATATATATATATATATATTTCCCCCTCCTTTTGATTAATGATCAATTAATCTCTCAGCTTTAATGTTAAAGGATTCCTTGAGGCACCATAACAACCTAAACGCAATGGTGTGATGGGGTCCCAAGCGCTGTCTTATCTTAATGAGATAACCAGTGGTTCCCAACCCAGTCCTCAAGTCAGTGGTGTACACCCAATCCATGGGGCCTCGGTGCAAAACTGATCCATGGGGCCAGCCCATACAGACACACAGAGATACACATAGACACACACAGATAGATACATAGACACACACAGATAGATACATAGACACATACACAGATAGATACATAGACACATACACAGATACATACAGAGACAAACATGGACACAAATACACTAACATACACAAATGCAAAATATTTGTCACCCTCCTATTACCTACCTTTGAGGTGCAGGAGGGTGACTTCTCTGGGGTCCAGTGGCTCAGGTTGATGGGAGTCAGTTCCCACTCTGACTCCCTCTGCTTCCTCCCGTGTGGCTCCTGGTGGTCACTTCCTCCCAGCGTCTGACATCATCAGAGTGGGCCGTGTCGCGCTGTTACCGGGCGCACTCTGATGATATTCATTTCCACCGGGTGGCTCTAACAGCATGGGCCCGTTCACCTGCGGCCCCGGCAATTATACTGCGCAGCCGGGGCTGCAACACCTGGCGTCAGGCACTCGATCGCAGGGCGGCCGGGCCCCCTGGAGTGACGGGCCCGGTCGCAGCTGCGACCGCAGTATATACGCCGCTGCCTCAAGTACTCCTTAACAGTCTTGGATTTAGGGATTACCCAATTGCATCTGTGTTTTTAGAAGAAGGAAAAAAAAAAAAAAAAACACTTTAGACACAACCGGAAAATCCAAAACTGGTAGGGGGTACTTGAGGACTGGGTAGGGATCCCCTGTGTTAGATTGTTTTACAATACACTCTAAAAATTGGCACTCTGTCGCTCTGCCCCTACACTACTGCTGCTGGCTCAAGGCTTCAAATCAGGAAACCTCTGACTAGGTGACGCTGATCACTAGCTCTGCATTTAAAAAAAAAAAAAAAGTACTCACAAACAGTGATGTCTGCTTTATCCATAAGCGTATCCACAAATGTAGTTTTACGCTATTAAAAGTCTTCCTGTTGCGCATTATTGCTTTATTATTTATTTTTTTATGGGCTTTTGCTCGCTACAATTTTATACATTTGTCACCTTTATGCATGCATGGATCCCATTCTACTGAATTATGCTGTTCTAAAACAAAATAAAAAGTAAGGAAAACAGTTGTCATCATGCACTGTAGAGACCATTTCTTGGAAGAATTCTTCTGTTCAGAGGTGGGTCGTGAATAGCTTGGTTCTATCATCCACTTCCTGCACTCAACCAGTTTGCATAAAAGGGATATTCAGAGGTAACTTTTTTTATTTTTTTATGTTCTCGATAATGCGTTTCAAAGCAGTCTATTTAATGTAGTCTCAGGATACCAAAGTAAAGATGAATTGTTAAGGCCCTGTAAAATCTCCTTTTAAGCCACAGTAAAACCCTATAACATTCACTCCCACCTTATTTGATTGCTATTCCCTGTCCTAATGTGTTTTATACCCCACCTTCTATAGACTAAGCTCGTTTGAGCTGGGTCCTCTTCAACCCATCGCTCCTGTAAGTTTTCTTGTAATTGTCCTATTTATAGTTAAATCCCTCCACTTATAATATAAAGTACTGTGTAATCTGCTGGCGCTATGTAAATGACAATAATAATTATTAGATAGACTGTATTATAGTGGTAATGTGAATTTCTGACCATGCTCATAATGAATAAACCCATTAGCCCAAAAGAATGCCTGTGAGGTCAAACCATTGGCCTGTTTAGCCCCAAATCAGGTGAACATTTAACAAATCTGCTGGCCTGTTAATGTTTTGCATCACTTATGCTTCAAAGATCAGGAGCTTGCTAAATTTACCCGCACCATCCAGGATGCTTTTTTTTTGTGCAAATGAATACATACAATCAAGCTTAAGTTGCCAAATCATCTACTGAATAGTTTAAAATGTTATATATATAAAAAAAAAAATGTTCCTTCAATTTCTCTCCTGCAGTTAAATAAAAAAAAAAAAAAAATGTTGGTTTGGAAAACATTTGAGTCTGCCATTGTCACAGCTTGGCTGCTTGAGCCTAAATTATATTTCATATATTGCTGAACAACCATGAGAAGAGATTAAGAACTATACATTTAACTGTTGTAAAATCTAGGCACGAAAAACTGATTTAGAGAAATATTCAAGTCAACAATACCAGTATGTATTCAATGGTTTGTTTTATCAATATTTGCATTTTGGTATCAAGTTACTATGATTTGAATAAACACACATTGTTATAGCCTCCAAACTGTAGTGAACTGAAAAAAATTGCAACGTTTCAGCTGAAATAGCAGATCTGTAAAAATACTTCAACTTTGATAGGCACAGCTTTGCTCTTCTATCCTAAATGTCACCAGAATTTAATTAAAGGAACATTATAGTGTTTAGGAATACAAAGCTGTATTTTTAACATTATAGTGTCCCTTTGTCTCTCCCAGTCCCATCCCCCCCACCCCCGCCATGTAAAGGCTTTAAAAACGCACCTGATGCCAACACCGGGTCTGATTTCTCCGATAGCCTATATGGGCGAGCCTAATGCGCATGGACACAGTGCTTTCCTACAGGGTTCTTCAACACACTGGATGCCGTCCTGCAAAGCGTGAGGACGTCCAGTGTTGTGTCATGGAATCTGATGGAGCTATATAAATAATAAAATAATAATGGAGTCAAACTCCTTGAAGCACCTCTAGTAGCTATCTGGTAGTTTCTCTATCACTGAAGTGAAGTGGTCTAGGTGCCTATAGTGCCCTTTAAGTACAATAGATATTATAGAAACACTGTATATCTGTATTCCTAATGCTACAGTCCTGATGTGCCTAATTATTTCAGGGCCTTTGTTTACAAAACAATAACATGAAATAAAACAAATTACTTACCTGCTGCCATAGTCTCCACATTGGATGATCACTCTGGACGCGTGTTTAAAGACCTTTTCAGAATTTTTGGAAACATTTCTGCCAAGATACTTCCAGGTGGCAGAACGTGCGCTGCTTCCACTACCGGACATTCTCCTCTCTTGAAGGTAAAGGTTGTGTTTTGTGCTTGGTGGTGTGTTTTTGCAGCTGGGGTTGGCGGCTTTGTTGGTGGTCCGGGGCCTGGGCTCCTTGTCTGGTGGTGCCAGGCTGCCTCCTTCTGGCCGTTGTTTTGTGCTCATGTGAGTCTTGGGGGTCATCGCCGTGGGCCCTGGCCTTTTGATGAATTTAATACTTTGTTGGTCAGGGGGGCGGTGCACTTTGCTTCCGTGCTTGTGCCTGCTCTTTCGTTGGGCGCGCCTGTCTGCAGGGCTGGTGGTGAGATGGGCTTCCATGTGGATGTCTTTGGTTGGAGCCTTGTCTTCCGCTACTCAAGGAGCGATACACTTCAGTGGTGGAGGACGGGCCTTTTGCTGGAGATGTTGGTGCGGGTGTTCACCTCGTCGCCGGCACGGCAGGCGACTGTGCCAGGTGGGGAAGTGAGTGTGGGTGTGGGGTGTGTCGCTCCTTGATTGCTTTCTTTGTAAATGGGTGCTCGCGGCGGTGGCTTTAGCATGTCACGTGGGCTTGGGGCGGTGGTTGGAGTGGCTGGCCGGGTGCCGTCCGTCGGGGGGCTCAGGTTCAGGATTGCTGGCGTTGGCTGTGGAAGTGCATTGACAAGCATTTTTGTGATACTTGTTAATCTATGGAATGCACGTTAGACAGAAAACTGTCTGAGAATTGCATTATATGTACAGGGCTTTTGCCACTCGGAAGAACTTCTATTATTGTTGTGACGTTATGGTGAAAGTTTGGCAGTGGGACGGTATAGTGATTAGGAATACGGATTTGTAAACCAATTGCTATAATGTTCCTTTAATAGCTTCTTTTTTTTTTTAAATTCACTTTGAGGGTAATTAACTGAAGTGAGAATTCAAGTGAATTTCAAATTTAAGGCCAAAATAGCTGAGCCAGAAAAACAAATCTTTAACTCAGCTATGCTTCCAATTCAACTACTTTTCCTAAAGAGTGAAATTCCCCATTGTGTTGTCACTTTGGTGAGCAGCCCTGTTGGTGTTGTTGGCTGCTGCCAGGACTGTCAGGGTGGGGCAGGGAGGAAGTGACAGCACAGCCAGGTATCCAGCACTCTCCATGCTGTCCATCCTGGATTACAGAGGGCCCAGGGCTGGCTCTGACTGTGGATACTGCAGATCCCCTGGGGGCAAGGCAACCCACGGTGAGTACCCAATATCACAGCCCCCCCCCCCAGGTACACACTGGGACTCCAGCAGGGCTGGCTGGCTGGCACTAGAATGAGTTCAGGCCATTGTAGTCATACCATCCCACACATGTTTTAGCAGAGAACTGCAAGGGATCATGGGAGTTGTAGTCCCCCCTCCCTCTCATAAATTAAGGCTTATTTATCTAAAATAGCTCATTCTGGTGTTTTATTTAGTGAGGCTGTAACCACGCAGGGGTTTTAAAATGCCACACCGAGTTTACACACATAGCGCGCTAGGCAATGGTGGTTTGTTGTGCCAGCGTCAAAGATGGCGCGGCGGTGGTGGTGGTGGGGAAACCTGGCAAGGAGGCGGCGTGACGTCACGCAGGCGCGCTCCCCGCTCTCTCGCGCCCGCGCTCCCCGCTCTCTCGCGCCCGCGCTCCCTGGGCTCTCTGAGGGTGGACGTGGGTTCGGGAGGAGAAAAAAAAAAAAGAAAGATGGCGTCTGCCGGCGGAGGTTCGCTGACTATCCTGGAATACTT